CAGTTCATCCAGCAAGGATTTCTTCAGGAAACTAAAATTTTCAGAGAGGGAGGACAAGCTCTGCAGAGGACAGTCCTGATCCCAGATAAATTGAAACAACTAATGGATGTGGTGTGCACCCTAACCTGTTTCAATCTGGGCTTATTTTTGTGCAGTGGTGAAGTGATTCTGCTTCAGGGATTTAAATGCGGTAAAGGGATGTGTAAATGTTTGGGAAATAAACTCAGCGCTGTCGGGAAATAATCTCAACACTCTTTGTTAGGAGTAAAACCAGGCCTAGGAAGGTGTTCTGTCTGTTCCCCACTCTCCAAAAACATCTAAAGAGCACTTGCCAGACAGAGCACAGCTCTGATTTGTATGAGAAATCCCTGACTCACAKATCTTGGCAGACGATTATCAAAGATTAAGATATTTAAAATCAAGAGGCATTTGGAACCAAAATATTGTTCTGACCCAGCTCTAACACCTAAATAAACAGCGACCACATTGGCCTTTTACAGAAACAAGTGCTCAGTGCAGAGCCAGCACCTCTGATAACAGGGCCTCATGGTTTGGGTTCTGCCAAACTGCTGAGGTTTCACGGAAGAAAAAAAACCAAAAAGACTTAGATACAATTCCAAAAGAATATGATCATCACATYTTCAAACTGGCAGCTCTCCTGCTGTTGCTCTACCTACATCCAAGTAAACTCCTCATATTGCTCAACATCAAGTCAACAACAGTTTCCTGGAAGGGCTAGATCTTAAATAAAGGCAAAATAAGTGCACGTTTCCTCAGCTCKGTGGCCTCTGAACATCCACACACAGCCCACCACAAAATGTAAAGGCCTAATTATATTTCCCCGAGCTTCCAGGGCCACACCTCCRGGCTGAGAGCTCCCGAGGGCCGGGGGCTGGGCCAGTGCCTCCCCATTGTACGGAGCACGCTAAGGCAGGATGCTGCCGCYGGCCAGGATGTGATTCAGCGTCCTGTTTTGAACACTTCATGAAGTCAGCAACTTCTGCCCCGAGATCTCCCACCAGCTCCCCGGGACACAATCAATCTGCAGCCAGCAGGACTTGTCAAAGCTGTAATGAGCTGCTGTCCCCACAAATAAATCCTCAGGGCAGCTGCCCCTGTGTTCCCGCCGCCCTGAGCGCCTGCCCGGCACCATGAACAGGGACAGCCCAGGCTGTGGGTACAAGGCATTCACTCAGTGCTGCTCCAGCAAAACATGATACTAAATCCCTAAAGAAATTAAGAATCAAGGTGTCAAGAGATAATTTTCTGTTCAATAAAATATAATACACATTAAATATACATTAAGCATAAATATATATATATGCATGATATAAAATACAATGGYGTCCTGTGGTGTGTGCCAGAGGGATGATCATGGAATCATTTAGAAAAGACTTCTATGATTGAGTCCTACTGTTCCCACAGCACTGCCAAGGCCACCAATAAACCACGTCCCCAAGTGTCACATCCATTGCAGCTTTTCAATTCCTCCAGGGATGAGGATTCCACCACTGCCCTGAGCAGCCCGTTCCAAAGCGTGACAACCTTTTCCATGAAGGAATTTTCTCTAATATCCAATCTAAACCTGCTGTTGCCCTGTTAAGGGTTCATCTACAGCATCGACTCCTGTTGATCACTGATCTGCAAATGTACTTAAGCCCAACTCTGAAAACCTCTATCTCCCACAGCTGCTCTTGCCAGTTCTTAAAATTTGTTTTACAGGTGCCAAACAAGAACAATTCTTTCCATAACCATTTTCAGGCTTGATCAGATCCTGGAGATTACCAACTTCCAGGCCCTTCTGCACTAGTTTAATCTCTATCTCCTTGCAGAAGGTGCCTGAAAATGTTCACCCGGCCCCACATTTAGRCTGTGATTGGAAAGCCAGTAATAGCAAAGATTACAAAATGACTGGCTAAACAAACCTATTTATATTTGTAATTAAARCCAGTGATTATCTTGCTGTGTTTGCCAACCACATCTGTAAAACAGCCAACACTCACAGGGTTGTACAACATCTCCTTTGAGCCGGTGAGACAGAGCCAGCCAGCGGCCAAGGGTGAGAATCAACTGGGTTGCACCAAAAAGGAAAAAATGCACATCCAGCCCTGTGCTAGAGCAGGCAGCTGGGAAAGAGCTCGGCTCTGCTGTGCCTCCTCCTTGATAGCATCTCCTGAGAGGCTGCTCAGAGCTGGAGCAGCTGGATGCAGGGCTGAGATAAGGCCACAGGCACCGCACGCACAAGGCTCGCATGGAACTCGATCTCAGAGAACTTAAGGCTGTGCTTAACTCTAGGCTAACACGCCCTCCCACGGGCTTGGCCTAGCCATGGCAGCAGTTTTACAAAGGTTTGGGTGAGCTGTGGGTATGCTGCACCAGTAAGGGAAAAAAGGGGTCAAGCCACAGCATCTCCCTGATGGTTATCCAGGATGGAAGGTTTRAGCAGACACAGATAACACAGCTCAGACGTGCAGCTTCTGGCTTCACTGAGCTCTCATATCTCYCTGTGCTCTTACTTTTCCTTCGGCTCCAACTCTCTACCCTCAGGGAGCTACAGAGTCCTGGCTGTATGCTGGGAGCACTGTGGATGTTACATTGTTGAAGCTTCTACAAAATTTTTGGAAAYAGAGAAAAAGACTACTTAGAGCAGATCAATGTCTAAGAAAATGCAGATAGCAGCAATATCTCTGAAAGCAAAGCTGAACTTAGAGCATGTCCCCTCGGTCTGTGCTAGAGTAGAAGATGTTCCAGGGAGAAAGAAAAGCATTTTGAAATGACAGAAACCATAAGGAAGGRTGACCAGGGAGCAGCAAGATGTGGCTGGGTGCAAAACTGTGATATAGACCTGTTCCTCCAAGAAAACAAACAGATGGCTCATGGAACCAGATCCAACTATGCAACCTCAAATGAAAATCATGGAATTCTTTGGAATGAACAAAAATAATTTGTTCACCAGGCAGATGAGTACATTATGTCATAAATGTGTACTAGCACAGCCATCCTGTATCGATGAAACACAGCTTGAGCTGGCAGCATGTTGGGGACGTGTTTCCAACAATCCTGCCTTTTCTCCAACCATTAGATCTCCAAGGTCTGCAGAGCCAGGAGCTGGACTGCTGACCCCTGTGCTCAGGGCATGTGTGACAAAGCCCAGCTGTCACCAAGGCTAGACCAGGATTGAACCAGACACAAACACCAGCACAGGCCATTCCTGCAGGTTTTTTCAGAGAAGCAGCACAATGAAGTTGAACAATTCTGCCACCCCCTGGGCACCGGGCAGAGTCTCAGTGGACTGATCCAGAGCAGGGAAGGGGACAGCAGTCACTGGGAAGGGGACAGGATCAACCCACTAAATGAACAGAAGCTKCATTTATCATCTGTGTTGTGTCTACACATTTCCTTCAGCTCTTGGCAGTGTTTCCCCCTGAGAACGGCAGAGGCTGTACACCAGAGCCATCTGATTCTCGAGGTCTGTCTGGCTATTTAATTACCAGATTCTTATCCTGACAATCGTATACGGAAGAGCAGCCCCAAGAGACTGAAGGACAGAGGAAACTCGTGGGATCTCGGTGTCCAACGTCAGTGCTGCAGCATTTTTCAACAGCCAGGAGAAAAGGATCAGCCCTTAAGCCTGGTCCAAGTGCATCTACAGAGCTGAGATGCACATGCCCGGCTTGCAAAGMGGCCAGACAGACCAAAGGTAGCCACAAATCCAAGGATTTCCCCAGGATTTATTTCCACAATGAGAACATTTGCAATGAAGAGGATAAAGCTGTATTTTCTCTTTCAGCACAGAACTGTATATTCAAAAGAAGAGGCTGCCATCCTGCTTGGTTACATGTTAATGTTTAATACCACATGGGGAAAAGCAAGAATTAGGGTTGTGTGGCTGTTCATGGCTTCAGCAGGTTCCTGCTGGGGCCCTGCATGATACAAGAAGCAGACCCAGGAATCCTGAATTTTGATTTAATCAATACAAAACCCATTCTCCACAAAGTCAGGTCTCAAATGGCATTACAGACAGCTATGAAATGCCCATACACAGGAGAGAAGACACACAGCATTTCTGTCTGCAGCCCATGTGTGTGCAGACAGGACTACCATGCAACTCCAGGCTTCCCAGGTGTGCTGCAGCCAGGAGAAACCACCCCAGAACACAGAAACAAAAACGTCCAACACTTTGCTACTCTGCCMATGAACAGCCCTGCTTTCCAACTTCACTTGGAGAGCAAACGCAGTCTAAGCAGCAGCAGGAGTGGCTTTGCTTTTCCTGAACCCAGGATAATGAAAGCAGGAAGGAGTGACAAGAAGAGGAGACTGACTGCTGAACCACTGTTGTGCCTTTACACTTCTCCCTTGGGCTGTGGTTTACAGGTTACAGGGTTAAGAGCTGCCTGCAAGAGCCAGGCTTAGAGTGAGCCATCCACAGCATTACTCAGAGCCCCATTAGCCAGGGCCCCAGCACAWGAGCTTGTGTCACCACTTGGGATCTGCACAGTGTCAGCGACAGGAGTCTCTCTCCTCCCTGCYAGGACAGCTCAGCCCTTTCTGCCCCTCAAATGAACACAGTGGCTCTGCACAACCCCAAGGAGGAAAACGCCTGGCAATTAATACCCAGAAATGAGCAGAGCTCTCCCCTTCCTACCCTGGCAGCAGAGMCCCCTTCCCTAGTGGAGCCCCAGCCTCAGGGAGCAACAGCAGAGCCAGAGATGCCGTGATAACATCAAAGTGCTGTGGCCAGAGCTGACCAGCAATTTTCCARTGTCTTCCCTCCAGGGAAAAAAGGATCACGAACTCTCTTTTATGCTTTCAGCTCGTTAAGCGTTCATCTCAAAACCCGTAAGTGAGAGATCATCCCCAAGTTCAGCTCTCTGCAAACCATGCCATCCCCTCCAGGCAAAGCCCAGGCTCGGGGATCTCTGCGGGATGAGGACCTGGATGCTTGGCAGACAAATAACAACAGTGGAAATGATATTTAGAGTGCAAACAGCTCTGCTTACCTCACATTTAACCTACGCTCTTCATCACTGCCGGCCTCCGCCTGAGGGGAGAAAAGGATACAGGAGAAAGTTACATGTTGGTTGTTTACACATAACAATAAAATCCCTGCACCAAGAGGGTGTGGGGGGCTGTTTGCCGCGGGGTTTTTCTCCCCTGTGCCAGGGATAAATGAGACTCCCTAGTCCTGTATGCCACCAGCACCCGGCGCCGGGTGACAAAGGGGCTCACGGGGATTTTAAAGCTATTAGGTCCTAATCCTGCAAGCTGGTCCTGGAGCGCAGAGCGCTTTGAAGAGAGCCAACCCCGACGTCACCGGAGCGCACACCTCGCTCCCACTGCRCACACACGTGAGGGCAGCAGGCTGGCAGCCACGGCTGGGCACAAATAATTGGGAYTCGGGGTGTCCCAAGCACAAGGACACAGATGAAAGTGTTCCCTGGGACTGACCCAGCTCCAGCACCAGATGTGCAGGACTCACACCGGCAGGCCAAGGAGGCCACCTCCACCTGGATGGTGGCACACGTGTCGCCAGGCTAGGACAATGCCCACCTCCTTGCATGTCCTCTGCCTGTTGCCTTCCTGAGGAACATGCTGCTTYGGTGGCAGGCATGGATTACAGCGGGCACTTCTGCACCAGCACTATTGGAAAGCCCCCTGGAAGCAAATCTGGCAGCTCAGGTGACATTACACTTTATTTACTCTCCTCAAAAGAGAAGTGCGACCTCAGCCTGCTTCTAAACCAAAGCATTTTCACAGAGTCATGCTTTCCAGACATCCCCTTCAGCTTCCCTATTAGCTTCTAGACAAAAWTCCTCATTAAAGAAAAGCAGAGTTGGGGCTAATTGCAGCCAGAGCTGACAAAAAATAAAACCCAACAGGTACTAAGACAGTACTTCTCCTTTGGTCCTGCATGAGTAAAGAGAAGAGAAAGTGCTGGGAGCTTCCCCTTGGAGGGCAGGGCTGTGTTGGGAGAAGGTTTGGGCAAAGCAGAGACCTTGCAAGAAATCCTTCACACTCAACACACCAGATCCTGACAAAGCTGGATGGACACAGGCTTTGAAGGAATCAGGCTCCATCAGTGCCAACACTTGGGGAACATCCTCGTGTTTCCTACAGCATTGCTCAGAACCCACATCAAATAAGGGTCTCTGTAAGAGTTACCTGTTTCCAGGTGGTTTCATACAAGTTAAAAATATGCAAATAGTATAATTTCAAATGCTCAAGAGTGGAGCTTTGTGTGTGTATGTGTGTGTGTGTTGGGGGAGGACCTGGATTGCTCCCCACCCTCTCAACTTAGGACTGGGGAGGTTGGAGGGCACRGGAGCTGCTCTGCTGACAATCTGTGAGAACCAAGTAAAGCCAGAGAAAAAAAAATCCTGCAAATGCAACAGCAGAGGCCGGATATTGGAACTGTGGCCATTTGGAGAAAGGGAGATGCACAAGGCTGTCCTGACTGACCCAGCAGAGGGTGAGGAGCATACCATGGCTATTTTTAGTCTGTTTACAGTGCAGAGCTGGGTTGCAGGCAGGGCCCCAGAGCACCCCGAGTCCCAGTGCCCCCACTGGCAGATCCCCCAGCCCTGGGAAGGTCTGGCAGGTTTGGGACCTTTGCAGGGTCGCCTCCTGTTTGTTTGGGGTTGTCACATAGCAACAAGGGGAAGAAAAACTTTCTCCTTTTTAAACAAACGTGACTGTGAGGATGACGACTCTCGGATGTCGTCAGCTGGGGCTCAGCAGCAGGGCTGGGCCTGAAGCTGCTGTGGGCTCCTCTYCTGCAGGAGCTGAGCTGTTCCCAAAGCTGACTTTCGCTGTACTTTTTACTAAAAACTGCAGGCAAACCAAAGCAAGGCAGCAGCAAGGCTGCCACACTGAGTGCTCCTGCCTTTTCCTGCTCAGAGCACCCCTTGGAGCKGGCAGGGTTTGGGGTGCACCACACACTGTGCTCATCAGAACCGTGGATCCCACCACAGCACAGACACCACAGCCAGAMCCCACCAGCCACTGCCACATCCCTCCCTGGGGACTGTCCTGAGCGTGGCCATGCTGAAGGAGCACAGGGAGCAGGAGCTGTGTGGAAGGGAGATGCATAAGCAGTGCAAGTTTGCAAGTGTGAGAACCACTCTCTCCTAAGTATTTATGGCACAAGGCAGCAGCATCCATTTTACAAATTCCTTTGGGCTCAGGAGTTAGGAGAGGCACTGCAGCACAGTCACAATTAGCAAGGATGTATGGTCATCATTTTCCATTAAAATATCTTCTAGTAATTATTCACAGTGACTTAAAGCCCCAACAAGCCCTAATTTTCCTTGCAAGAAAGATCCTAAAAGAACAGGAGCAGGCTAGCATTTTTTGATGGGATTTTTCTTTGAAATTAACTTTGTAAAAACAACATGCTGAATCTGGAAAAATAATCTGGAAATCATAATTTTATGGTATTTCATGCCAGAAGAGACCATTCCAACAGCTCAYGTCTTCATCTGGGAGCTACCACAGCACACCTGAGCTGTAGGTGCTGRTGGCAGAAGCACCCTGCCATGGACAACACCTGGCAGCAAATTTGGGGCAACAYTTTTGGGAGGAAAAAGGAGAATTGTATAGTCATCCCATCACCAGCAGCTCTGACATAAAGCAATGCCTAACACAGATGTACATGCCAAGGCCTGCTTTCACTCCTCTCCCACCTGCACCAGTTAAATCCAGTCTAATTCCACTGCCTGCACTGAGGTTACAGCTCATTTYCATCTCTGTAGATTGGGTGGCCACTAGGTCTTGTTCAAGGCTCTGTCTAAACCAGATCCCACAAAATTCCTTCTGAAAACTCCTATGAAAAGTGCAAGTCCCGTCTCCACGTTCCTCAATGAGCACAGCGTGACCCAAACTGGGTCCCTGCAGCCAAGGACCCCCCGCAGCCCCTGGAGAAAGGGAGAACCTGGGAGCTTTGTGGCTCCCCCCTCTTGCTCCCCCCTCAGACCAGCTAATCGGGGGAGTCACAGGGACCTGACAGGTGACAAATAGGATTGTTTACCTGGCAGGAGTGGGGACAGAGCGAAGCCAAGGGCAGCGAGCATCAAAGGAAGGAAGTGTGGGGGGAGAGGGATGCATGGGGAGGATGTGCAGAGAAACAYCAGGACTGTCTTTGTGGGTCACAAAAGAGATGGGTTAGGAAGGGAAAAGGCAAGAAGAAAGAAATTGGAGGTGCAGCTGTGTTTGGATGACATGTGGGAGCTGTGGTGGGAGAAGTAGAAGCCCAAGGCCAGGCAGAGGCAGRAGAGGGCATTTCTGGGGCACAACAGTGGAGGGGGTGTGCAGCAGAATTAGGACACACAGAGTGCTATGCCAGCAGGACACGGATGCACGGATGGCATCATGGGGCAGATGAAGTGGCAGGTACAGATCCCTGGAGAGCAGAGCTGGGTGAAGGAGAGGACAGCAGCATGGTGGAGGCTGTGCCACACTGAGGAGCGGCAGAAATATGGGGTGGAGCAGGATGGGAGCTGCTCCTGGAGAACTGATAATGGTCACCTTGGGGAAGGGCTGGCGTGAGCTCCCTGAGGGGCAGGAGCTGCAGCAGATGTGGGGAAAGGTGGTGCCATGGCTCAGACAGAGAGGTAACTCAGGGCAAAGCAAAGCATCCCTGGGGCAGGAGATGGTGGCAGCTCTGGGGTGCCAAGGAGGGAGAAAGTCTGAGGCCAGCACAGCTCCTTCATGCAGAAAGTACTCTATCTGGTAAGAGAGGGGTGAAGCCCCTCTGCCTGCCCTCCCCCTGCCCCAGCGTTTAGGGAGCTCAGGCTAATGCCAGCTGAAGGTTGGAATGGGGGACAGCCACGGTGGAATGGGGGACAGCAGAACAGAGCCAGGCCTGGCTCAGCCTGGCAGCATCAAAGGGCTGGGGCTGAGCAGCATTAGGGGCTATGAGAGGAAGGAGTTGAGATGGATGGGGGCTGTCAAGGRCTGAGCTGGGCCAGGGAGTGGTGGGGGTTCTAAGGGGCAGGGGGCTCTGGGCCATGGGGGCTGTAATGGGACGAGGATGGGGTAATTGGCTATGGGAGATGGGCAGGGGGCCATGAGGGACCAGGACCTGTGAAAGGGATGAGACCAGGGGCTGGGGGGACTATGAGGGGCTTTGCTGGAGCCAGGGGGCTGTCGGAAACCAGGCCATGGGGATTGCGAGGGGATCAAGTCAGAGGGCAAGTGGCTATGGAAGGCCAGGGGGCCGTGACGGGGTGGAACAAGGGACTGGAGGGGGAAAGCTGTGAAGGGCCAGAGCCGTGAGGGTCCTGGGTSTGTGAGGGCGATGGAGCCAGGGCTTGGGGAATATCGGGGAAACCATGAGACACCGGGGCCTATGGAGGTGATGAAACCAGAAGCTTCGGGATACGGGGAGCCGGGGGGGGCTGTAAGGGGCCTGTCCCCGAGCGGGGCCTCACCCCGYCCCTCCCCGCTCCCAATCCGCCGCCGCCGCCCCCGGGGCCCCCTCTACCCTTCCCTGCCCATCCCGTAGCAGCTCACCTCGCTCGTGCTGGCCGAGGAGGCGGCGCTGGGGGTCGGCGAGCGCTGCAGGGTGACCAGCGCCATGGCTGCGGCTGCGGGGCCGCGGCCGCCTCCCCCTCACGGCGGGAAGGGGCGGG